TTGAAACAAAAATACGATGTAAATGATTCAACTCTAAAATATTTGATCTTATAAATAATTACCATTTTTTATTTCGTCAATAACATGTTTTTTAATTGGTTTTAAATGTAGATTAAGCAATCATGATTATTATCGGTAATTAACTGGTATATCTATCCATGATGGCTAATGACGTCAATTTTTTTTTGTTTACTTTTAAGTTTTAACAATATGTACTATACGAGTTTAAATTGAAAATGATTCTCTTAATGGTACATCATTAATATCAATCTTTAAAATAGGTAATGAAAGACAAAGTAGTATCATTCCTAAGTCACATAGATGGGCCATAAACAAAACACGTCCATACAAAATTGGTCCACTTTATAGAAAATTCCAAATAATTGAAATATTAATAAATTTGTATCATCAATCCTTGAATCATTACATAGAGTGAGGTCAGCAAATGCTCCTATGTTTTTATTTGAATAAATTCGTTTGTACTTTATCCACTTGCTTACATTATATAATTAGCGAGTATGGACCAATTCCTTCCATAAAAGTTAAACATATTAAAGGAAAGGAAACAAGTGGTAGTTTGTACTTACTTAAATATTTGATAATTAATTCCGTTTTTTTTGGCCAATCATATTCGAATCTTTTTGTAACCATGAAAGCTGACCAGCGTACTGAAACGGATACGGGAACAAAAAACGGAGACGAAAACGAGAACAGAGACAAAAAAACAGCAATATTAAAAATTTGTGGATACGGGTACGGTAGAGATATGTCAATAAATATATAGGACAAAATACATGTGAATAAAAATAGGGACAATTACAAAAATGCCACTTTTTGTGTACACATTTACAAGAATGCCACTTAAAGATGTCTATTTGCAAAAATGACACTACTTATAAATTTATAAAGTCTATATCTTAAAATTCTAAACCCTAAAAAATGTTTTGACCCCTAAAACCCCCTAAACACTCAAAACTAAACCCTAATACAACCTAGTTAACCCAAATATAAATTATATAATAATTTTTTTTTTTTGAAAAAGTGGCATTTTTGTAAAGATTTTGAAAATGTCGCATTTTTGAAAAGTGGCACTCGGAAAGTAGCATTTTTTGAAATTTCTCATAAAAATATAAGAAAATTACATTATAAATCTCAATATAAAAGAACACTCGATCAATATAATAATAAAAATAGAGTTATTTTGACGTTAAAAATAGAGCTAGATTACAAAGAAATATGTATTAGAGATAGACAAACATACGGTGATCAGAATAACGTAATTTGAAGAGATAAACCTTATTGACTTGCAGAGAGTCAAGAATCGAGACTATTTAAAGAGGTGAGTGTCGATTAATAAATGAGACGTATTATAAATTTGAAACTTTATTTTATATAAGGTTTTTCTTTTATACATTTTTTTATATATTTTTTTCCTAAAAACAAATAATTAATATACATAACAAACAATGGAAACACTAATTTTTAGCCTAATATGTTTCGGAAACGTCTCTAAATTCGAAAGATTCCGTCCCCATTAACTGCCGATGTCTCCAACATGTTAAAGACTTTTTTGGGATGTTTTAGTGCCGTCCCCGAACCGTACCCGTCTCCGGGACGTTTCCATGAGTGGTTTTTCAATTAGAGTGGACCAGACCAAATAAATAGTTTGCTCAATGAATTAAACCTGATTCATAGTGTTAATCCACAAATTTCAAAAATTTCAAAACCACCAGAAACTTCTATACCCATCTCACACCAAAACCAAAGACGGATGAACCACAAAGATCCTCAGATCTACGAGCTGAAACCAACCAAGGCCCATAGGAGCACCACCGCTTGAAGACAGACTCACCGCTATCACCACCGTCAATTAATGAGATAAAGTATTCTGAAACTTGAGACTTATACCGATACAACAGAGAAAACAACTAGAAGATACAAACTAAACAAGCCGGACCGACGCCGTGGCTATGGAAGCCCACGCACGTCGGCCAGAAACTAGATCTGAAAGCTTGTGAAGATAAGCGGCGGCTCTGCAACCTGTTCGCAGAGAGAGAAAACTCTTCCATTTTTATGTGATGCCTAAGAGCATCTGCATTGGAGACATTTTGTATGTGTCTTTAAATATAAAATTATTAAAAGTTGAGTAAAATGAAGAAAGAGAGTGTTTTTGGTTGAAATAATAGGGTGTATTGAAATATAAAATTAATAAAATTTGAGTAAAGAGATGAGATAGTGGGTATTATTGGAGAGAGGATGTCTCGGYGAAGACAAAGTTGGAGAGAGAATGGATGAAAGTTGGAGTGTGTTTAAATATAAAATTAATAAAAATTGAGTAAAAAGATGAAAAAAAAAGTATAAAGTTGAATAAAAGGAAAAGAGAGTATTTTTAATATTTTTTTATTTAGAGATATCTACATTTTGTCTCCAATTTGGATGGTCTAATGTGGCTTGGCACAATTTATTGTTCTAAATCAAATCCAGTCTGACCTGTCAAATACTTACTAATATTTGTAAGAAGAGGGTGGAATTGTAAGAAGAGAAAACAAAGGGGTCAAAAAAAGTAGAAGAAACCAAAATTTATAAATTAAAGAGAGAAAAACAGAGTCCCGGGATCCGTTTAGCTTGGTCGCTCCGCAACTGGTAACAAAGGAATCAACTTTACTTTCGTCTTCATGTGTGTGATTAGTAGAATACATTTGCTTTTTGTATCTGTTTGTTTTCATTTACAGTTATCTAGAGCATTGTTAACTCATTTTATTCCTCTATACGTTTTGCAGAATATCCACACTAGTTTCTGATGAAGATTTGAAATGCTTGATCGAAAAATTGGAGGAAAGAAATGAATCTGCTCAGATATAGGAAAATGTTATTCACAAGGCTAAACGATGCAAGCCAGACGTAATATAGGCAAACTTGATCGTTTTGTATATATTTTCACTTTGTTATATATTCTGATTATTACTGAGTATAATAAGCCTTGGTTGTTTTCAGGACTTTTACATGGACAATGACTATAGGAAGCAATGGGATAAGACTGTGGTTGAGCATGAGCAATTGCAGGTTGACAGTAATAGCGGAGTTGAGATTGGTCGCACAATTAAAAAGTTTCCGTTGCTGACATCGAGGGAATATGTACTAGCTTGGAGATTGTGGGAAGGAAAGGACAAGTTCTACCGTTTCACAAAGGTAAAATGAACTAAAACTTTTCTCTATCATGGAGCTTGACAATTACCTTGTGTTCTTTATGCTCTTTGGTTATGTACGTGTAAGTTATTTTAGGTCTGGTTGGCGAATCAGGAAAGGCAAGTGGTTTTGTTTATCATGAATGTTGTTTGAATACACCATATAATCAGAGATCGATTTTGATCATTCTTTCTATGTTTGATGCATAAGTGCTAACATTTGAACTTGCTGCAGTTCCCGGTAGAAATGCTTGCGAGGTCAAAATGTTTCACCAGGAAAATGCTGGGTTAAATGTTGAGATGGCGAAGCTCGCTTTCTCAAAAGGCATATGGAGTTACGTTTGTAAGATGGAAAATGCACTTCGTAACTACATTGCAATCAGTCATAGACCTCAAGTTCCCATTTTATCAGCTGTGAGCTTAATCAAAAAGGTGAGATTCAAGAACCGGTTTGGTCTTGGTCGCATTTTCAACAAATGTATTGCTTTCATTGACATTGTCGTTGTTCATGCAGGTGCCATCAGAGTTAGAAAGGCAGACAGATGATGTCAAAAACTCCACGGGAACTAGTAGCGGTGATGTACTTTCGACACATGTAGCCAAACAGAAGAAGTTATTGAGAAAGCCATCAAAGAAACTGATAGCAAAAAGTCTAGTACTTATGGGCGGTGCGATCTGCTTGTCCCGTGGTCACTCAGCCTTAGGTGCTAAAGTAGCATTGGCTTGCCTCTTGACGAAGCTTAACAAACGTGGAACTCCTCTGAATCAGAACACCAATATTTAAGTAAAAGAATCTCCTAAACCATGAGCAAATGGCTCTGACCCCATGAGCAGCTATGGTTGTTTTTGGTCTTCAAGATTTGCATTTGATGTTCATATGAATGTGAAAACTTAAAATTATAAAAAACACACACAAGCCGAAGCTGGCTATCTTTCTTGTAAAAAAGAACAGAATGTAAAAGAAACATGATTAACTCTTTAAGTTATAAAACCAAGAAATAATAATTCAGCTATATATTTTTATAATCTAGACACATAAAAAACATGTAATAGAGTAGAAATGATTGATTAAAGTCTCCAAGTGCGTGACGGTCTCACCCTGATCCATAAACATCAAGCTAATACGTATGTTAGCTTTGCCCTTACTTAACCAGTGGTCCGGTACACCTTTGATTTCAATCTTTCTCATGTCATCGCTTTGCAGATCATAACAGAGAACGTCAAAGGGAGACATGAAAAGCTTGCGGTTTTGAATTGTACATTTTAGCTTGCACGTAAAGATTTTACAATTTCTTTTTTTGGTAAACCCTTTGTATGTAAACGGAGGTGAGAAGGCTGCAAAATCACCAAGAGTTATCCCAATGGTGTAGCACATGAAGCCACCAAGAGTTTGCAAGTCGTAGCCTCCCATCTGTGGGATGGTCAGATCATGGTCAACTACAAAGGAAGACGACGGAGTACTAGCCGAGGAGGATAGGATTACAGAT